TATGGACCTCGACTCCGTCTCGGTCCATAAACACGCAAAAAAAAGAACTTGGCCAATATCCAGCCATCTTGACCTCACACTTGGTCAATAACCCATGCAGGTAGCACAAAAGCTTGCGCTGTGAACCTTTTTGAGGCTGAATACCCTAAGAGGTACCAAACCCGTTTTTGAACCCCTAAAAGGTACAACGAGCAACCCCGTCCTTTTTTTATGGGAGTCGCTCCCCCGGGGCCTGCCCTTAGTACTGAATAGGGTAGGGTGTCGGGGGAGAACGGGACTTTGACTTCTTGGGTTTGATTCTGTAGCACGCATAATGGCACTGTGCAGCATATTCTACCTTGATAAGAGATGGTACTCCAGCCCAAAACTGGTAATTAGGACACATCTCCGGCATGCTCTGAACTCCAAACTTGTACTTGTTAATTAAAACTCCACCAATTACATAAACAGTGAGCAATACGAAAAACCTGAAAACAATGAAAAAAAAAAATGCAATGAGATAAAGGACTATTATAAACAAAACAGATCCAATAGACACANGGCACTGTGCAGCATATTCTACCTTGATAAGAGATGGTACTCCAGCCCAAAACTGGTAATTAGGACACATTTCCGGCATGCTCTGAACTCCAAACTTGTACTTGTTAATTAAAATTCCACCAATTACATACACAATGAGCAATACGAAAAACCTGGAAACAATGAAAAAAAAAATGCAATGAGATAAAGGACTATTATAAACAAAACAGATCCAATAGGCACACGAACAAACAGCACAATTGATTGTTCTTTACTTTCTATGAAGGGTCAACAAAGTTCACGCAACAACAAGCTAACCAGCTCTACACGTAGTGATACTTGTCATGAGAAGATTAAGTTATTCACTAGTTAGTGACTGACTTTTAGTCTGTATTGTGTTGATCATTCAACCATCTTTGGCTGTATGGTAGATAGTCCAAACGCCTTGTATATAGGCTCTATGTCTCACTACTCGTTTTGTCCATGGGCTAGCTTTTAACAATGGTTCTCACGGTTGTTATGTTTGTGTGTTTTCGATGACCTAGGCTGGGACATCAGTAGACGGTTTTCGTATAGAAACTATCTTCTGTTGTCATGTTCGTCGGTTCGTCATTATTGTTTTGTCTGATCGCCATGTTCTGGCTTGCATTTGAGTTCAACCAGCCCGGAGCTCTTTTCAGATCACATAGCCCAAGATCTAGAACTCAAGCAAGTCTGTTAGTAGTTAAGGTATTTAGCTTGGTTCATTGACTTCGAGAGCTAAATAAAGTTTAAGCTCTAAGCAGAAACTGTTACTTGGTGATGAACCAAACGTTAAATCCTTGAAAGGGATTAGACTCCTTGGTGCCTCTCTTATTAGCGAGTGCGGTTAACATTCTAACACGTCAAAACATTAACTCATCCTTCATATCACAATGTCTATCTTAATATGGACACCCTTGCTGGGGACGTTGCGCTTCAATTCCCGACCATAACAACAGCAGTTTTAACTGGCCCCATCTCCTGCATCTTCACTGTTATGGTCAGCAGGGGACGTTAAAGAATCCACACACTCATCGTAAAGAGCAGGGCACGAAGTTCCCGGTGTTGTGGTCTGGTCTTTGCCCATTCTGCTATTGAAATGCTCGGAGACATTGGCTGTTAAAGCTACTCTACATTCCGAGGGTAAATAAAGTATACTACTACTACTACTACTACTACGACGACGACGACGACGGCGACGGCGACGGCGGCGACGGCGGCGACGACGACGACGACGACGACGACGACGACGACGACGGCGGCGACGACGACGACGACGACTAGTACGACTAGTACGACTAGTACGACGACGACAACGACTAGTACGACTAGTATGACTAGTACGACTAGTGCGACTAGGGCGACTAGTGCGACTAGTGCGACTAGTGCGACTAGTGCGACTAGTGCGACTAGTGCGACTAGTGCGACTAAGTGGTGCAAATCGGATTTGGCCAGATCTCGCCTTCGGCTTCGTCCACAAGAGATCTGGGAACGAGATTAAGTTCACGCAACAACAAGCTAACCAGCTCTACACGTAGTGATACTTGTGATGAGAGGATTAAGTTATTTACTAGTTAATGTATGACTTTTAGTCTGTATTGTGTTGATCATTCAACCATCTTTGGATGTATGGTAGATAGTCCAAACGCCTATCTTGTATAGGCTCTATGTCTCACTACTCGTTTTGTCCATGGGCTAGCTTTTAACAATGATTCTCACGATTGTCATGTTTGTGTGTTTTCGATGACCTAGGCTGGGACATCAGTAGACGGTTTTCGTATAGAAACTATCTTCTGTTGTCATGTTCGTCGGTTCGTCATTATTGTTTTGTCTGATCGCCATGTTCTGGCTTGCATTTGAGTTTAACCGGCCCGGAGCTCTTTTCAGATCACATAGCCCAAGATCTAGAACCCAAGCAAGTCTGTTAGCGGTTAAGGTATTTAGCTCGGTTCATTGACTTCGAGAGCTAAATAAAGTTTAAGCCCTAAGCAGAAACTGTACCTTGGTGAAGAACCAAACGTTAAATCTTTGGAAGGGATTAGACTCCTTGGTACCTCTCTTATTGGCGAGTGCGGTTAACATCCTAACACGTCAAAACATTAACCCATCCTTCATACCACAATGTCTATCTTAATGTGGCCACCCTTGCTGGGGACGTTGCGCTTCAATTCCCGACCATAACAACAGCAGTTTCACTAATCACTTACAACAGTGTTACCTTACCCCAGAATTACATTGAGGCCAAACTTCTTTCAAGCCAAATTGCATCTCGCTCACTATTATTGCCATTGTCTACATATTGTGTCAAGAAATGTTACGCACAGGTACATTCCATCAAGTTGACAATGGTACTTACACTATTAACAAAATACTTCCAGCGCTCAGCCCACCCGAATCTAACGGACAACCATCATCACATGCGCACTTGGATGTAAAAGTTGTGCTCTAGCAAAGAACAAAATTGAACAAATTGAAATAAACAAAGGCAAAGGCACCTAAGTCGTTTTAGTAGTTTCTTTTTAAAGGTTCCAAGTATGCGAAAGAAGTGCCGTTTTTCGGGGAAGGTGCACGGTATGGTAGGGTTATCTTTCAGGTCAAACATTGTGTACAAAAAACGTAGGGGTTTCGATCCCGGGTGGATTATTCTTTATTATTGCGCTTCTCTCCCTCCTTCACTTCCATACTGACCCAGTTTTGCGTGCAAATGAACACACCCCAGGCTGTGGGATCTTCAATCAACCGTTTCTTCCAAGCAGGTTTTCAAAACGTCCTTTCAAAACGATCGTCTTTGTGAAACGCTTGATGAGAAGTCAAAAGGTTATTAGTTTCTCTTTCAGCCAGGGATTCGTTTTTACTTCGTGAGTTGTACCCACTGTGATGTAACGAACGAGTTACACGAACGAACGAACGAGTTACACTGTGATGTAACGAACGAGCCGGCAGGATAATAAGTTTACAGCTCAAAAGGGAGCTTTAAGCTAAGTATTGCACAGGCTACATACAAAGTCTGAAACGCTGGCTACGAGGTCCTCCAACACACTGGTTACTTCTCCAGGAAATTTGCTCTCATTGCATTTAAGACCAATTTGCAAGCGCCTGTGGGAAAAGAAAAGTATATTCCTTACCACAGTTACCTTAATCGTACAGAAGTCTGTTATGCAACTGAAAACCGAAAATACACTTCAGATGAATTTGGATTATAGTTGATCTGTACGGGTCCGCAAATGATCCCAGGACCGCAAATGATTCCCGACCGCAAATGATCCCCAAATTGAACCTCAAATGATCCCGGACCGGAAATGATCCCCATATTGGACCGCAAATGATCCCGATCAAAAAATATGGAATGGCATGGATGGTGGGATGGTGTGGATAGGGAATTGGCGTAGGTAAATACCGATGTTTTTATTAAAGCCATCTTA